CTTCACCTGGCGTTGACCTACTCGTAAGATCAGTACTGGTTTTCCCTAGTTCATCTGAATATGATGTAAGTTCATGTTGAGGCTACTTTTCTACTTACATGTAGATTTGGAGGTGTGTAAATCTTGTGACTTCTTTTGTCAGGGAATAATTACCATTCTACTTTCATCACCGATTAGTTTCTGATGTGATCTTGTTTTGTACATTTGATAGAGCCAAAGCACAGGATCTGTCTGTGATGGAGACCGGAACATCATACTAAATCCAAGATTTGACAATGCCCTTTGTAACTGGGTTGGAAGAGGTTGCATGATTGCCTTGTATGACTCTATGGCAGATGGGGAAGTCCTTCCAATGTCTGGAAAGCACTTTGCATCTACAGAAGATCTCACAGAGCCCTGGAATGGAATTCAGCAGGAGATAACGGGGAGAGTTCAAAGAAAGCTTGCTTATGAGTTTGCTTCTGTAGTTCGAATTTATGGTTATAACATTACTATTTCGGATATTACGGCTAAAGTGTGGGTTCAGGCACCAGATCTACGTGAGCATTATATAAAGATTGCTAGGTAATTCCATTTCCCTCTTTCCCTATGATATCTTTTGTTTACTGCATAGAATCTTTGCTAAATGTATTTTTCTGATTTTGTCAACTTCGTACCTGAGAAGTTATTGCATTGTGTGCTAGTTGATCCCTGACCATATCCAGTGACATGAAGCTACACATTTAAACATATCATTCCTGCATTTTGACATATAATTCCTGCATTTTGACGAGAACTAAATTTCCAAACTCAAAAGTCCTCCAAACATAACTTTCAGGCAATATTTATACATGCAATAGTTTTAAATAGTTTTCTTCACTTAAAAAGAATTCCTGTGGGATGGATACATGGTGAGACTTCATAGTGATATTCTCTTATTTGATCCTATTTTTAGGTTTTGGTGAATCTTATCGGCCATGTTGTCATTAGATCCTGAATGCATTGTCATAGAAATGAGACAAAGTGCTCCTAGAATTTATATATTGGCCAGCTTTCTTCATATTCTGTTTCTTTCCTTCATTTAAAGAAAAAATAGATAAGTTTAAAGAAAAAATAGATAAGTAAGTATGGTAGCTTATTTTTGCAGTTGCATCTTCCTATTTCATCCTTTGAAAATAAATAGAATTTTCAATTATGTTCATTGATATCTGGCTGATTATGCAGTGTGAAGGCAACAGACGAAGATTGGGTTCAATTGCAAGGAAAATTTCTTTTGAATTGCTCCCCCGCAAGAGTAATAATTTGTCTAGTAGGCCCACCTCGTGGCACTGATATCCTCCTTGATAATCTAGTTGTAAAGCATGCTCCAAAAGTACCTCCTTCATTACCAACCATCATTGAGGTAGTTAAATAATTTTCTTAGACTTCAAACGTGGGCTGAAATATATTCACTAGATTTTCTTTGCTTGGACAAGAAGTGGAGAGAAAGAAGTACTAAAATTATTTTGATGAATTTCCCTTTTTTCCAGAATCCAGCATTGGGAGTTAATATTATTGCTAACAGCAACCTTAGTAATGACACCAGTGGTTGGTTTGCCCATGGGAACTGTACTCTAACCATTGGAAATGGTACGCCAGTTAACCTTCCTCCCATGGCTCGAGATTCTCTTGGAATTCAAAAACCCTTAAGTGGTCGCTATGTTCTTGTAACCAATCGTACCAAGACGTGGATGGGCCCAGCTCAGATGATAACAGATAAATTGAAACTCTATTTGACATATCAAGTGTCTGCATGGGTTAGGATTGGCTCAAGGGCAACTAGACCTCAAAATATTAGAGTTACTCTTAAGGTGGATGACCTCCAATGGGTAAATTGTGGCAAAGTTGAGGTTACAGATCAAAAATGGCTGGAAATTAGTGGATCATTTAGAATTGAAAAGAAACCAGCCAAGGTACAGGCTTATGTGCACGGTCCTGATGCAGGTTTAGATTTGTTGGTTGCTGGACTTCATATCTTTCCAGTTGACAGACATGCAAGATTTAGTCACTTAAAGCAACAAACTGAAAAGGTATGTTGTGAAGAGTTCCTTTTGGGATTTTGAATGATTATCTTGAAGTGGGTTTTGGGCCTTAAAACCTGACGTCGCTAATAGCATTGTGACAAAATCTTAAGATAATTTTACTTCTGATGATCTCTATGGTTAAATTATAGGTTGATGCGGGAAAAATCTTTGCTTGTTTGATACTATATTGAGTCTCTCTCTCTCTCTCTCTCATCCAATCTGATTTCTATGATGTACCTACTGATGGCATTTACCTCTTCCTCTCATGTTAAACGAAGTTCTTCAATAAAGTAGAATATTGTACTCATTTGTTCAAGATGTATCAACTTGGTTCAAAATGCTGAATAATATTTTACCAATGATACCCAAGTACCAAAGAGAATCTTAATCTTTACCCTGTTCCATTGAAGGATAAATTCATTGTTTATTATAATAGCATGATATAGAATTTTTTTGAGACGTCTCTGATTAATTACATGTGTGGCTATGCAGATACGCAAACGTGATCTAATCTTAAAATTTACATCTGATTCATGGCCTCTGGTTGGCAACTCTGTGAAAATTAGACAAACAGAAAATAGCTTTCCATTTGGATCATGTATAAACACAAGAGATGTAGACAATGAAGACTTTGTTGATTTCTTTTCCAAAAACTTCAACTGGGCTGTTTTTGGAAACGAGTTGAAGTGGGTTTGGATGGAACCACGGAAGGGGGAACTGAATTACAAAGATGCTGAAGAGCTCTTGAACTTCTGTATAAGCCGAAACATTCAAGTCCGTGGTCACTGTATCTTTGAGGAGGCGGAGTCTGCAGTTCAGTCATGGGTACGTGGTTTAAAGGAGGATAAATATGAACTGATGTCAGCTGTAGAAAACCGTCTATCAGATCTTCTCACACGCTACAACGGTAAATTGAAGCACTATGATGTGAATAATGAAATGCTGCATGGTTCATTCTATCAAGATCACTTGGGAAAAGATATCAGGGCAAATATCTTCAAGAACGCTAAACAACTGGATCCATCTGCCATCCTATTTGTGAATGATTACCATGTTGAGGAGGGTCGTACTTGTGACTCACGATCATCCCTGGACAAGTACATTGAGCACATTATTGATCTCCAAGAACAGGGAGCACCTGTCGGAGGAATAGGCATACAGGGGCATATGAACAGTCCAGTTGGACCAATTGTCAGTTCTGCACATGACAAGTTAAGGGATTAGATTCCTGGACTTCCAATATGGTTCACAGAACTTGATGTGTCTTCCGNCAGTTGGACCAATTGTCTGTTCTGCGCTTGACAAGTTAAGGGATAAGATTCCTGGACTTCCAATATGGTTCACAGAACTTGATGTGTCTTCTGACAATGAGTATGTTAGAGCTGATGATTTGGAAGTCATGCTTTGGGAAGCTTTTGCTCACCCTACAGTAGATGGTGTAATGTTATGGGGATTCTGGGAGCTGTCAATGAGTCGAGATAATGCACATTTAGTGAATGCTGAAGGGGATATTAATGAAGCAGGTAATAGATACCTTGCTCTTAAGCAGGAGTGGTTGTCTCATGCTCATGGCCATACAGACGAACAAGGTCAATTTGAGTTTAGAGGATTTCATGGATTGTATGAAGTTGAAGTTTTTACTCCTTCAAAAAAAGTGACTAAGACATTCGTTGTCGATAAAGGTGACAAGCCACTCGTAATATCCATAAATTTATAATTTATCCTTGACTACTGCTTCACGTAGTAGTTGAGAGATTATTGTACTTGATTGTTATTAAGATTGCTTGTAAAAGTAAGAAGAGAATGCCTTGCAGCCTTGGTGACTTCGAGTGGTCCATCGTAGTATAAATGGCTACCATTCATAATGGTCAAACTGTTTGTTCTATTGTATGATTTATGCTAATGAATAAAAAGGCGATTGTGTTGTTAATATGTGAGACTGTTTTTCATTCATTTTTTCTTGATACTTGGTCACTCTTAACACCGTAAGTTAGACGAGCGTGTTAGAGGTTGTTTTAAAGGTTCACAGAGACTCTACTTTCTGCAATATAGATTCACTTGAGAAGACACTACCTAAAACTATTAATTACGGTCTGAATGGATCTTAAACTTCTCTCTCACATAATTTAACTTTTACAAAGTGATAAACTCAGCAGAAATTACAACATTGTCTGTGTACTTCAGTCAATAAGATTTAGAAATCCACTGATCACCTTGGATGAAATTCTGAACCGTAAACGAGTTTACGTGCTCGGATGAAACCTTGCTACTCCACCTGACTCGTTTTGACGTGAAATAACAATTAATTAAAACTGTTCTTGAGTACTCCTTCCATGGCCTTCCCAGGTACTTTTTATGTCACTAGGCTTGCTATTATACTGAACATTGTATGCATCAGTTGATTGTGCAATTCTGAAAGAAAAATCCGATAGATTGGGCAGTTGATTCTTCCCTCAGCTGCCACGGCATTGGTCTCGCCCTTATCAGGACGGACTTGTTGAGGAGCAACAAAGTTGAGACAGTCCTGAAAAAATGAAGTTGAATTTCCAAACATGAAATCCACGTTGCCTTGGACGTGGCATGATTTGTAATACTGTCATAGGCTGTGGACATATATCATGTCTCGATTGCCAAGAAACTCTCAATTTTCTATTATAGAAATATCGCTATCTGATAGGAAGACTACTGCTTGATGAGCATCAGGGCTTGCTGTGGTCTCGACCCCGTCTTGATCCTTATTATGAACAGCTTTCCCATGTGTGAGTAATCCGGTGCAGAATTTACCGCTGTTGACCCAAAAAAATGTTGCCAACAGATGCCGGGCCCACTCGTGCACACGTAAGCTTAATCCAACACGCTAATGCCGATCGACGGTCATGAAGACTCCAGAGAATGAGCGTGGGAGTAGCAAAAAGGCACGGGA